TACTGAATGAATGAATGAATGAATGAGTTCGCCCACGCTTACAGGGCGGTCGGCTTCTACCACTGTCGAGACCAACGCAAGGTACCAGACCCGCAGCTGGGATCGAACCCGACACCCTGGCATTCCGACGCTTGTTCGCAACGCCCAAACCACAGACGCCGACACAGGCAGACTAAACTGGAGAAAATAGCTCAGAAAATACTACAAATTAATTAATTAAAAGCGCAGATGAAATCAGAGCACGACACACAACCATTTTAACACATTTAAATTTGGTAGCGTGACTTTCACAGGAAGTTGCAGAGCCATCCCTTGCATTGTTTGGTTGTGGTGATTTTTCTACGCAAACTTCAGTTAATTTGTTTGCAACTGGATATCTGACAATCGGCTTTTGGCACCATTTTTGAAACCAGCGCAGAACGGCCGCTGCTAACTCGCCTACAGCTCAGACTGAACCCGGCACCACGGCTTCACAAAGCGCTATCAACACCCTAAGCTTAGACGGCGGCAGTTCGAAGCCACATTTTAACGAATAAATTATCGAGGAAGATATAGACACACTGGTAACAGTATTCGTTTCCTTCGCTTTGATTGAGACATAGATACGCTCTGTTGCATAAAGGTGTGCTAATTTTGACATATTAAAAGACACTGTAATCTACGCCTCCACGCGTGTTGGCCATGTAGGGCTAGACCTTTATTTTATAGATTACTTTGATGGGTAAAGACCCCCCCCCCCCCCCAACCACCACCACTCCCCAACTATTTGTGTGTGTGTTAAAATCTGGCTCTTCATGTTAACATAGTTCGAATGTTGTTGCAGTTTAGTCCTCTCATTCCAGTACAAGCACTGACTGTGTCTGTAAATATTAGCTTGTTTTTTGTATGGATTTACGTGCACGGCAGATCTACTCCACCACTTTGTGGTAAACTGATGTATGACAAGTTAGATATTGTTTGGGTCCTTTGGGTGCGAGTGAACAGTGTGGAGGCGCAGATAGTTCATTACGGCCTGAGGAGAATGATGCTGTGAAAAGTTACCAGGGGATCTGGCCGACGCTCAACATTCGGGAGAAGGATGAGACGGATATACAGTCTTACGTTTGTGGTATCAGAGGAGTTGGAACTCTTCGCTTGTTTCTGATGATAGGAACTGAGCACTTATGAGAGTTGTGAGTGCTGTGACGTCGATTCCTAATTCAACATTCATCATTCGGCAGATAGTTGGTCTTATTTCCACATATGGAAGATCACTGAGTTGAAGCATCGCCCTGTATGCCGTATTCTGTGTGCATCCAAGTACGATGGGCCTGGTCTTATTCTGAATCCAAACCAGTCTCTATGTGCATACGGCTAACTGTCATAATCGCCTGAGCATAATCATTTACAGTGAGGTTTAAACCATGGTGGAAGAGAATGACGTGACGCTGCTTACAGTGTGTCTCACTTTTCTGAGGGGTATGGCGCTGCCATGATTTACCAGCGGATCTGGCCGACACTCGACACTCAAGGAAAAGGCGAGATGGATATACAGACAGCTATTGGTGCCTTCGTAATTGGAACTCTTCGCTTGAGGCTGACGAAAGGGACGGAGCGCTTCGTGGGGTGCCCTGAGTGCTATGATGTCGATTCTCAATTCAATACTCAACCGTTCGTCGCAGCCATTGTCTTTGCTTTGAATATCGCAATGTCTCATGCTCTTACACAGCGAGACTCTGATCAAAACACACTCCTTCCTTCTGCAAGTTCTCGCCATGCTCACCGAACAAGGACTCAGTTGTTGGTAAGAAACCCTTAGAAAACGGTGATCAGTAGCCACGTGACATTTGTACATGTCATTCAGGCTTCATTTTCCGTGTCAGTTAAATTTTTTGCAACAAGGTTGCTACATCCTGCTTCAAAATCAAAATAACGCCAAAAGTACTAAAAGTTACCATTCAGTAAATTTTTTTTTCTCTTAAGTATCTATATTTGTGCATCCCTTAAAGGATGAGCTCAAAAATAAAAACAAATGTTTTGCGATCATCCTCCCCTAAAATTCGAAATTTGGATAGTAACAACGTTGTCTTTCAGCAGCGTTGGCCTGGAGATGGGCGATGAAACGTAACGGAAGCGGTTTTAACCTCAAATGCAGTTATGAAAATAGACGTAGAAGAAATAACATTTTCATTAGCTACCAGGGGTTAAACCAGGCATTCATATATATATATATATAATATGAATAAAATGCGTTAATGAAAATGTTATTTTTTCTACGTCTTTTTTCCTAACTGCATCGCCCATCCCCTAAATTTGACGGACGAAGTTAACTCCCTCTCGAATACACCTAAAAAGGAAATACCGGCCAACGTTGCTGAAAGACAACGACATTACTGCCCAAATTTCGAGTTTATATATATATATAGATATATGTATATATATATATATATATATATATATATATATATATATATATATATATATATATATGGGTGTGTGTCTGTGTGTGTGTTGTGTGTTTGTGTATGTGTGTGTTGTCTGTGTGTGTGTCTCTCTGTCTGTGTGTATGTGTGTCATAAAACAGAGAATGCATTTCGTCAGCCACTAGAACTCAACTCATATGGTAAACAATAGTGATATAGTCGTCCCATGTGGGTTATCAGTCATCCCCATATGGGATGTAATTTTCTGTTATTTGAAGCTCCACCCTGGCTTCTGCTTTGGAGACTGAATATTGCTGGGGCTTAAATATGGCCCAGACGTAGATGTGGCCTAACTGCTGAAAGGGGTTTCTGGGACCTCTCCACGGGTGATCCTCATCCGCATGGTGGCACTTTGTGTCACCGAGTGTTTATCGCTTGTGTATGTCCTGGTGGGGTAAAAAGTATGTCAGTCAGTCAATAACGACATTCCATTGTGGCAGCCATTTTGAGATTATTATTATATTTTCAGCTTGCAATTGTTTTCTTTCTTGTTCGCCTTTCATTTGTTATTAAAATCAGTAAGGCGGAGAAGAGCAGAAAAAAATATAATCTATCTATCTTCTTATACCCCACCAGGACATCACACAAGCGATAAACACCTGATGACACAAAGTGCTACCATGTGGATGAGGATCACCCGGGGAGATGTCACAGAAACCGCGTTCAGCTGTTAGAGTATATTTTTGGCTGGGCTATACTGCAGCCCCTGGAAAGAGCCAGAGTAGGGCTTCAAATAACGAAAAATTGCATCTCACAAGGAGATGACTGGATGATGATAAAAAAGAGATAATTACCAGCCATGGAAATTAGATGTCTGAGAAGGGTTGCAGAGTGACTGTAGGAGAAAGAAAATCAGGAGTGAGGTCATAAAGGAGGTGTCGATACAGAACAATTCTAATTACATGCAGACAGCAAATCAAATGGTCTGCACACATAGAGAGAATAAATCGTGACGTCAGATCATATAAGGCACAACAGAAAAGAGAAGAAGGATGTATTACGTGAGGCAGACCAAGAACAAAATGGAGAGATAACATCAGATCTTTGATCGAGGCGGCCACAAAAGCAAGAAGCAGAAACTTGCATTACCCTCTACACATGAAGCAGTAAAAGGAAGTGAAGGAGAAGAAGAAAAAGTAGAAGAAGAGGAAGAAGAAGAAGAAGAAGAAGAAGAAGAAGAAGAAGAAGAAGAAGAAGAAGAAGAAGAAGAAGAAGAAGAAGAAGAAGAAGAAGAAGAAGAAGAAGAAGAAGAAGAAGAAGAAGAAGAAGAAGAAGAAGAAGAAGAAGAAGAAGAAGAAGAAGAAGAAGGTGAAGAAGGTGAAGAAGGTGAAGAAGGTGAAGAAGAAGAAGAAGAAGAAGAAGAAGAAGAAGAAGAAGAAGAAGAAGAAGAAGAAGAAGAAGAAGAAGAAGAAGAAGAAGAAGAAGAAGAAGAAGAAGAAGAAGAAGAAGAAGAAGAAGAAGAAGAAGAAGAAGAAGAAGAAGAAGAAAAAGAAAAACAAAAACAAAAAGAAGAAGAAAAAGAAAAAAAAAAAGAAGAAGAAGAAGAAGAAGAAGAAGAAGAAGAAGAAGAAGAAGAAGAAGAAGAAGAAGAAGAAGAAGAAGAAGAAGATGAAGAAGAAGAAGAAGAAGAAGAAGAAGAAGAAGAAGAAGAAGAAGAAGAAGAAGAAGAAGAAGAAGAAGAAGAAGAAGAAGAAGAAGAAGAAGAAGAAGAAGAAAAAGAAGAAGAAAAGAAAAAGAAAAAGAAGAAGAAAAAGAAAAAGAAAAAGAAAAAGAAAAAGAAGAAGAAGAAGAAGAAGAAGAAGAGGAAGAAGAAGAAGAAGAAGAGACCTGTTTTTGGACACATCCACACTTCTTCTTCTTCTTCTTGTAATCGCAATCTGATTTTCACTGACAGGCGAACTATTGTCACCAAATAGACGGCTTTTAGGAGTTTCCTTATAGTTCCACGCATCTTTGATTACTGTGTTACCTCACTGAGCCATTATTCCTTTCTTTATGGGCTGTACAGGGGATATTTTTGGTCATGTTCTGCAATTTGCACAGACAGCCCACACTTGATGGATGATTTGATCTTCATCAGGCAGTCCGCCTTTACTTCCAAAAACACTTCTTGATGTATAGTTTTCTCGTTTTCGAAAAATAACTATGGGTACCTTTATTTACAAACTGCTGGACATAAATTTGCCTAGAGAAACCACACAGCAGCCAGGGGCTGCTGGGGTTGGTTCTGCAACGTCTGTAAAGGATACGCAACTAACCTAATCTTTATTTAACAGTAACAAAACAATAGCAGCAACAACAAAAATTAACGTCAGAACGTAACATTAGAAGATGTATAAACAAAATGTCAAAAGGAAAAAAAACACAATTTATTCCCTGGTGATCGATGCTATAATTTTATGTTTTAGAAAACTAGTCCGACCTCCGCTGTGTGATTCAAATCTATCTCGCATAATTACCATCTCAAGCGGAGATCATGAATCAAGACACAGAATGCCAGTAATTTAACATCCGGAATGTTTTGTCAATACACTGGAGTTATCGTCGCGCTAACTGATTCTTTCTTTCACAGAGACGGGTTCATGTGGACACTGGTAATCTGTGGGAGAAGTGTTTATTCAGAATACGTGATCACAGTTGTGGTAATTCTAGTGTCTTTTTCTCTTCAGGTTGCTGTTTGCGTCACAGCATGGCTGACAGTCTCCGTGGCCATGGATCGATACATTTCAGTCTGTTATCCGTCAGTGTCAAAAACTCTGTGTACGATACCCAAAGCCAGAACAGTGGTAACGTCGGTGTTTGTTATCATGATTCTTCTGTCGATTCCTTCTGGGTTTCGGTATCGTCTGCAGACAATCCATGATACGATCAACAACATAACATGTATGGAGTTGGTGGTGACGGAACTTGGCCGGAATAAAGAATTTATGATTCCTTACACTTGGGTTCAGAACTTCCTCCGTGGCATAATTCCTGTGTTTATTCTCGTGTTTCTCAACGCCAGAATTATCAATGTTTTGAGGAAAGAACGGGTCAAAGGTAAAAAATTCAGCGCCAGAAACAGAATCACCATTATGCTCATCACAATGGTGGTTGTGTTCATCGTTTGCATTACTCCTGACGCTATCATGTCCACTTTCTTTGGGAAAGGATACGTGGAGGAAGACTCCCTGGTGAAAGGGATTCGGGAAATTACGGACAGCCTTGTTGCCTTGAACTCTGCTATCAACTTCCTTCTCTACTGCACTCTCAGTGTTGCTTTTAGAAACACCTTCATGAAAGTGTTCTTTGGTCGAAACTACGTGAAAATGCGCGGAGCCAACTGCACTCAACAGGGCCGCGACAGAACGACGCCCGCCATTAAGAATGATCAGAACGTGCCGCTGTCACAACCCAGGGCAGATTCAGACGGTACAAACTCCAATAGAAGTAATTTGCTGGACGACTCGCCATCCAAACCCAGCCTCTGCGATAACGACGATGACCTCTCCTGCCAGAGTTCGCCGGGGTCAGACGTCATCAGAAATGGCTACAGCCAGATATCGGAGGGCAGTTTCTTGATGAAGACACTTCACAAGGGTCACCAAATGAACTCTGATTGTTTATTGACTAAAGAGAAGATTGTTTTTGACGCACGTCTGAATTGTAGTGTGTATACAGGTCCTTTGGAGGCGGTTCAACCCCCATGGGAAAGACAAGCACCTAAAGTTACTACCGTCTGTATGTTTCAGGGGAGCCAACCTGACAGCGTACAGCTCTAGACCATAATCAAACAATAACATGTGTGTGTAGCTTTGCTTATTCGTACAACTTTAGGCGGCATCTTGTAGGTGGCTATGTTGTACATTGCTTTAAATGATGTGATAGTAGATATCTTTACTGACTCATCACCACAGGTTATCGTGTCGTAGGATTATACAACATCGGTTAGTCTCAACATTATGTTACTGCATTGAAACCGAGAGCTCGCCCAGTTGCCAGGTGTCGAGAGACGGGTACATTATCAGAGCACGTGTATACAAGGTCGCCTGAACTGCTCTGACATACATTCTGACTCCCTCGTAGCTGGCTATGTTACTTCTCATTCACTGATCTTTCCTCTCCCACTGTGATGTTATGGTATCATAAGCCGCGTGAAGTAAGTAAAGGACCCCTTTCCACGCCTTTGGCGTATAGAGTATACAGGGCTAGACCTATATTTTATAGACCAATCGGCACAAGATGGGTGATGTGGTCAGCATTACGCCAGCCGCCTTTACATCAGGACTGCACCTGGTACATAATCAATGCTGGGTCGACCTGGGAGCCGAGATCATTTCTGAAAATAGTCCGGCTCTGCCAGGGAGCGAACCCACGACCTTCCGATTCGCAGGAGAGCGTCTAGCTAATCTAGGGAATAACAAATAACGACATAGTTCTGTCAACAACACCATGTATTTCTGTTATAACAATCACAGTTAATGTTCTTATGAAAATGTCCCAACAACTACAAGCTAAAATCACATCGGCGACCCGGACTCCCCTTGGTTCGCCGATAGACGATTTCGTCACCTTTCGGGACAGTATCTGCGTCTGTCTTCTTTTTGTCGCATCAAACACTGCACAAGTTCTTTTCGGGGCTTCTGGGGGCATGCACACAACCTAGTCACAATTATAACCGAAAGCTCCTCTTTAGGGGATGCAGGTTGTACATCTGCCTGAGAGGTGAGGAACCAACAGTCTGCATGTAAATTTGTCAGACGTGTAAAAATGATGTACATGCAACACACTGGAACAGGACTAGAGATAAAAAGTGGACGAACAACCAGAACTTTCCGCTGGAGCTTACAGCCGATGAACGCGAAGAAGAAGACCTCACAGGACATTACTTGTACCCATTAAAAACTAGGTCGACCTGGGAGCCAAAGTAATTTTTTTTAAATAATCTTGCCTCGTCGTGACCCGATCCCACGACCTCCCGATCCGTAGGCGAGCGTCACACTACAGTGGTCCCTGTATAGTACGTTACTCAGTGTATAACGTTACTGTGCCCAACATTTCATTGATTCTCTGGGTGTATAAAGTTACTGTGCCCAATATTTCATTGATTCTCTGTGGATGTATAAAGTTAGTCTGCCCAACATTTCATTGATAATCAGTGTGCGTATAAAGTTACTGTCCTAAAATATCATTGGTTCTCTATGGGTGAACAAAGTGACTGTGCGAAAATATCATTGGTTGGTTCTCTATGGGTGTATAAAGTTACTCTGCCCAGTATTTCATTGATTCTCTGTGGGTGTATAAAGTTACTCTGCCCAACATTTCATTGATTCTCTGGGTGTATAAAGTTACTGTGCCCAATATTTCATTAATTCTCTATGGGTGTATAAAGTTAGTGTGCCCAACATTTCATTAATTCTCTATGGGTGTATAAAGTTAGTGTGCCCAACATTTCATTGATTCTCAGTGTGTATATAAAGTTACTGTGGGAAAATATCATTGGTTCTCTATGTGTGTATAAAGTTACTCTGCCCAATATTTCATTGATTCTCTATAGGTGTATAAAGTTACTCTGCCCAACATTTTATTGATTCTCTGTGGGTATATAAAGTTACTGTGCCCAGTATTTCATTGATTCTCTATAGGTGTATACAGTTACTGTGTCCAACATTTCAATGATTCTCTACGGGTGTATAAAGTTACTCTGCCCAACATTAAATTGAATCTCTATGGGTGTATAAAATTACTCTGCCCAACATTTCATTGATTCTCTATGGGTGTATACAGTTACCTGGCCCAACATTTCATTGATTCTCTTTGGGTGTATAAAATTACTCTGCCCAACATTTCATTGATTCTCTATGGGTGTATAAACTTACTCTGCCCAACATTTCATTGATAATAATACAATATTGTTATGGTTATTATAAAGTATAATAAATATTCACAGGTTACTGTATTACAATCTTTTATTTTAATGTGTGTGTATTTTCTGGGTGAGGAACGAAGGAACGAACAAACTTTATTTTCAAAGGGTTACAAATTGGGTATGCAGGCTCGTCTGACATTCGGCCTGTCTAAACACTCATTTTTCAGAGTACCAATGCCTATTAGGAGGGAAGGCGGCGGGGGGGGGGGGGGGAAGGGGGGGGCGGAAAGGGGGTTGAGGGGGGGGGTGGTGTATGTTCAAGAGTCATGAAATAGAGAAGGGAAAAGAAGACAATAGCGATCACTATCACAATTTTTCGAAATGAATGGATAATTGTGCCTCCCTCTCCAAACATCTATATGACAGTCCATATCACACTAGATGGAAGCTGTAGAGAGCAGATTCCTGGCATTGTTGATACTTTAGTCAGAACACTGATTGACGAAAACACAGATGAAGATGATGCTGTAGTTTACGCAGATGGGGTCAATAATTAGGGGCAAGCGAAGTGCATGGGCCTTCACAGTAAGCTCATGGGGAAAAACCATCAAGGAGATGAATGGCGCCTTTTCTGTTACAACTTGTAGGCTTACAGTGGGACTATGGTTGTAACAATGGTTTTAGCATGGCTTGGTACTCAAAAGTTGACACACGTATGCATTTTTAGTGACTCGATAAATATGCTTAGAAAAAAATCTAACCTGGATTTATCAGGCTCAGGCAAGAATGGATTGAAACTAGGGCTGTACCGAATAGTGATTTTCACTATTCGGCCGAATACGAATACGAATAGTGTATAGTCTATTAAATATATCTAAAAATAAAATATAAAAAAAAATTAAAAAAAAAAACACACACACACACACTTTCACAATGTCAAATGTACGCTAAGCTTTTACTTCACATAAAGTAGCACAGAATAGTCATCTTCTTCTTTAGCATTCTGAGCAGGTTTACTGCTGCAGATACCACTCGTCTCCATTCATCTCTATGGCTGGCCTTCTCTTCACAATTTGTGACATCAGTTGTTCGCAGGTTTGACTGAACATTATCTCTCGAACTTATTTTTTGTTTACGCCCATTCCTCTCTCAGGTGTATACAGTTTTACTTCTCTGTCTTCTGACATTCTTTCAATATGCCCTAACCATTTTAGTCTGTTAGCTCTCACGATGCTAGTGATCAATGATGATTTAAACAGATTATATGTTACATTGTTGCTCCTCACTCTCCATTCCCCGCTGTTAGCATCTTTGATGGGTCCAACGATTTTTCGTAAGACTGTTTTTGAAAACCAGTAATAAGGCCTCATATTTTTCATTTCTGCTTCGAGTTTCAGAGCCATATAAAACGACTGGTCTTATCAACGTTCTATATATTTTGATCTTGGTGTTGCGGAACAAACACTTTGACTTTAGCAGATGTTGAAGGGCATAGTATACTTTATTTCTAGATTGTATTCTAAATTATATTTCTTCTCTCAGCATGTTGGAGCAGTTGAAGTTTGCACCCAAGTACTTAAATGTTTCCGTTCGTTTGATATTATATTATCGACTTGAATGTGGCCGGAGTTTATATTCTTTTCATGTCTAGTTAGTATTCGTACAGAATAGTAAACATTTTAAAACATTTTATGTTTCGCATCCTTCAGTCAATCTGTGATAACTAATAACTAGGAATGAATGAATCCTAAGTATTATAACAAGTAACTAAACTTGTAAATTGTCACCAACAGCTTAGTTAATACATGAAAGCTGCATTAGCTTTCAACAGAACCAATCGTTCCATTTTGTCAGTTTTAAGGCCGTGTATGCAGAAGCGGGTGTAAGGTAACTACTATTCCTATTCGGCCCGACCGCAACTATTCGGCCGAATACCGAATAGTCAATAGGACCACTATTCGGCCCCGAAGCGAATATGAAGCGAATATTCGGTACAGCCGTAATTGAAACAGTAGGCACTTTACGAATATCTGCCCTAATCTTCATCTTTGTGCCAGATCATGCTGGTGTTCAAGTGAACTAGAGTGCATACTATCTTGCTGACACTGCAGTTGCTATGGCTGGTCAAGTACTGTACAGAAGTGATGTTATCAATGCCATGCGCTGCACTTACCGTACCGAGGAGCAAGCCAAAGAACATGACTCCATATCCCTGTCTAGACTGATGGACATAGGGGTTCAGTCTGGAGCTGCAAGAAATAAACAATTAATTGAAGGGACAAGCCGTTTTATTAACCAACACAGAACGGGCGTCATCAGTCTTTTTACACTTGTGGAGCTTTTGAGGAGGTGATCGGAGCAGCTATGGATCTATTCAGAGTGCTGTGATGACAATCCTTTCTAATTACTAATCACTAATCACAATTTGTGGACATTCAAACAAATACAAGATATTCGACGATGTCCACCAAAAAAAGATTTCATAAATTGATTTACGTAAATGCGATCACGTAACCGTTCCCTATAACATCGTATTCCACTGCTTCCTCCAACCCTTTTTTCCGTTTTCAGCATTTGATTAGGTTTTTTCACTGTGTGGGTTCCGGGGCCCCGTTGTCGGGAAAACAAGAATAGACCCACTGCTTCCCCAGCTAGCATGTCGTAAGAGTCAACTGACTGGAAGATTCCTTTGAAGTCGGAGTGCATCTGCATGAGAGGCAAAAAACCAACAATCTGCTTACAAATAAGTCAGATCTGTAAAACAGACGTGCACAAACCACTCCGGTTCTGGAACAAAAGACTAACCTCCAGAACTTTCCACTAGAGTTTACATCAGGTGAACGCAAAAAAAGAAGAAGAAGAAGATTACGTTTTCTGTGGATGTCCGTTCCTGTTGTATTTCTCCTTTTGTTC